TGAGCCGGCCGCGGGCATGTGGACAACGGTGGAAACCCCAGAAGCCTGAGGATAGTTACCCACCGCGAAAGACGGAAGCCCTGCCAAACAGCTGGCCATGGCACGTAAGTCGGCGGCAGTGGTATGTTCTTATTTTAAAAAAATTTAAATCGTGAACTGCGTCTTCGATTGCGAAAAATTAAGTAGAGGCGTAGGCGCTATTGTGCACGCGTAACGCAAAATTCTGAAACATTACAAAAAAATTGCCCACCAATGGCAAACCGACATAATTCTAAGTCTGTTAGTTAGTAATGCAAATCCATGGCAAGTTAAAATCTCAATGGTAATTAACAAAATTCTAAGAAGTGCTGAAGGAGAACCACTGTCTTCAGCGAATCCCCAAGGTAAAAAAGAGCGAATACGCGTTTATTGGGATGGACAAATAAAACCATAATTGACAACTGAAATGCGAAATAAGTTATTTCGTGTAACTGTGAAGGATTTCCCTTCAGGTAAAGGCCTTCTCTTATACGCGGGTTCAAAACCCGCCGGACGCCTGGACCATTTTTCATCAATGGTTCAACTCAGATTTTCCTTTATCAAAAACCTTCATATCGATTTTGCATATCAAAATTACAATACCCAGCAGCTCGTTTTTGAATTTCTCACAAACATTCAAAACGTTTCTCTATTCTAAAGCAGTGTTGCGTAAGCCTAATTCTGCTCCATGCTTTATTCCAACAAATGTAAACTGCAATATTTACTACATGCATTACCGAATTGATTAAAAACTTTTCATTTTTATGAAGGTGAATGATAGGTGCGTATTGACTGACTTACCTAAACATGCAAAGCTATATCTTAACCAAAGACCTTCAGATACTCGAATCCAATCAACAAATAAAAATACTCAGACGTAATTTAAATTAAACTACCACCTCCAATTTCTGCAATTACTTTGCATGAGTAAGGTCATCTACTGTGAATGCAGAAGATTTATTTTATTCTGCATAGGTGGGAGTCTACAGTGCTGCCATGGGTGCCTTTCCTTATTGTGGAGGAACTCTAATTGCGAGCAAGTGGGTTTTGACAGCCGCTCACTGCATTTATAATGTCCTTCAATGCCGACCTGTCACGTATGGTCAACTCTTCGACATTCGTGCTGTCACGGGACATGACATGGCTGTTAGTGTGGCAGACCATCAATACACTTCTCGTGACCGTCCGAGTTACAACGTTCGAGTGACAGGCGTAGTCATTCATCCCAATTATGTGCGAGAAGATCACGGATTTGACATGGCACTACTGCGATTGGGCCGTGAAGTGAAACGATGTACGTTTTTTCTCAGCAGTCCAGGTTTTCTATGGTTGGAATAAAATGCGATACTTATATTAGTGGTTATAACGCACATTTTATTAAAGAAATAAATATGAGTGAACTAATGTTTTGTATATGTAAATACAATTTTTTCGCAAACATGAAGGAATCTATTTGTTTATTCTACGCGCTTTGTAGCAAATTGTGCCCTCTTAAATTCTTATAGCAGAAGAAGTAGTATCCCTTGATTTCAAAAAGGTATCTTATCGTATTGTTTTTACTACAATGAAGTAGTTCTTCACAATATCCTTAGCTGTTTTAAGATCTCTGATCAAGTATAAACCATAGGTCGCGCAAATTGTCAAAATCAGAGAGGGATACTTTACCTCGACTTCATACCGTAGGGGAATCTGTAATTTACCTTGGAAACATATAATTTGACTGAAACAATTGGTAATGCTTAAGTTTCTTTTTCATGACCTCTTTCTTACAGCACACTAAAATTGTCATTCACCGTGCCGTAAGGTTGCTTGCAAAAAACACAATGTCATCCACATAAATAGCAAATTTGCTGAAACATATTCGACATCGTTCTCATACCGTAGGGGAATATGAACCTTTTCTCTGGAAAAATATAACTATATTGGATAAATGAAGATAGTTGCAATCCAAAAAGATGTTCGAAAAATCGCGTTGTACTCGTGAATGTTAGAACAGGCATATATTGTGCGTCGACAGTCCAAATGAAAAGTGAGGGCTGGGACTATCACGATAGAGGTATTAGGAGCAGAGGTTACAACGAATGGGGTGGGATTACGCAGGAGGGCAATGGTGACGGGACTCCTGCGGCGATAGGTTGTGCTGGTGAGGGGAGGGAGATGAAAACGTTTGGACTGTGGGCCACGTGTTCGGGGGAGGGGGATGGTTGGTTCAGTGTAAGTGAATTTCCACTAGATGGAGCTGAGAGAGCCTGCTGTCTTTTAAGGCTGGGCCTGGTTTTCGCGCATGCTCGAGTAATCTGGGCCCAGATTGAAAAAAATAGCATGCTGTCCCTGCTCGGTCAAGTAGAATTTCATAGTTACGTCACCATAACCCTCCCACGCAATCCCACCTCGTTCATTGTAACCTCTGCCCTCAGGACCTCTAGTGTGACATTCCCAGCTCTCACTTTTCGTTTAGTGTTAAGACGAACACGTGATAACCTTTCGACCATTCACAAGTGCAACTCATTTTTTTGAAGATATTTCTTTTCACAAATAACTATGATGTAAACGTCGGTTATATTTAAAATAAATTGACAAATTGGACACCTTTTTTTTAGAATCGAATTACGAATTCGCAGGCATTTAGAAGGAAGTCTGTTAAAAGTTGACACTTTAGTGGAAATAAAATATATTGGCTTGGAATTTGCTTGGAATCTGGCTTGGTAATGCAACTGTTCCACACTCTACACACAGAAGTTTTACTGATTCTTAAATTGTGAAGTCATTATTCGTTTACGAAAACGTTATGTGTCTTTATCCGCCGCTTTGTTTACTGAGACGCATTGTGCCCCTTAAATGTGCATAACAATTGGGAAAAGTAAAGTCTTATACCCCTAGGCTATTCTAGAGATGCTATGCAAGAGTCACTGATTGTGTAATAAAAGGTGACTACGTAAAATACTTCATGTTTGCTGCTGAAAAACAAAACACAATTTACGCAATTTAATCCTGCATTCAATATTCATAACAGCTAAAAGTAGCTTTCATCTTAGTAAAACATTTGCTGAAAACTTTGTGTTTCAACCAAGAGGGCTCATGGAAGGATTTATTCGTTCATGACTTTAAATGAATCACATCTTAAACAAAAGGGTCTTCCGAAACCAATGCTAGGTTGTTGTTACCGTTGAGGCTGTTGTTCATCAACGTGTTCGTCAGCGATCGCAAAATGTGCATTCCTCATCCTGCCTTTTGGTGTACCTGAACCAATTTGGGAATCTGCTGCGGAATAAACAGTATGACAACTAAATAAATTCTTTATACACCGCATTCTATAAGTTTTGTTAATACTTTAGACAATTGGTCATCAGTACTGCAAAATTTTTCGCAATATGATTTAAAGAAACACCACCAACAGAATTTAGCGGTCAAAATAGAAATTCGATTAAGGGTTTAACAGAAAACTGCAATTCCCGGAATCAAATATTTCTTTATTATATTTTTCCAATCTCAGTTACTGTTGTTGCAATTGCCTGCCACCGCTTGTCAGTAAAACATTAGCGGTTTTAAGTAACTCCACGTATAATCTAAATAACGTTTACGTAAACCAAGTGCCACTGGATGCAAAACGTTTCTTCTGTAATGATTGGCCGCAGATTGGAAAGCTCTGCACGGGGTCGTTGTCCTTCTCGCCTGTGTGAATATATTTATGAAAATGCTGCAAACGAAACAATCTACTCAGTTGTTTGCTATAACGTAATTGCAAAACAAATGCACTTATTAATAAAAAATGCGACATTGTTAATGAGGGTTCTCTTACCATAAAAAAACACCCTCTCACTTTTCGTCTGTAATTATGCAAAAAGGCTCTTCTTAGCATTTCCCATTCGTATCTTAAGCGAGTCCTACTATTTGTATCTTGATCCACCTAAAATAAAATTAATATGTTCACGGACATTTTGTGACCACACACAAATGATTCATTAGGGGAATGCGGTCAACTGCAGATGGTCATCTCTTTTCTGAGTCAATTTTTTATATGCATTCGACTACATTCTCTCAAAAGCATCTCGGACAGAATATGCGTGTCTTCCTGAACGGGGATTCACTCTCCCCGTTGGCCACTTCTGCTACTTTGCTGGTTGGGGTCTGCTCCCTAATCCGCCCAATGCGCCGTTCGAGTACCCTCCTGAAAATCTGATGGAATTAGAGATTCCGATTATATCGAATTCTCAATGCAAAGTATTACATCCGCTTATGAACGAAATGCAGGACGTCTGTACGGATGGCGCTTATGGGGTGAGTATTAAACTAGCATTTTCAAGCCGCAAAAATATGTGAAACACCTAGAGCATTCATTTTTCTTCTTTTTATTTTCAGATGGCCTGTCGCGGTGACAGCGGAGGGGGACTACATTGTTTTGACGGATCCAAATGGGTTGTTTACGGCGTGAGTACTTATGGAAAAGAGCTTTGCTATGACGGCCACAACGGATTTGCTTTAACAGCACCCAAAGTCGACTGGATTAACGCCATCATTTCTTCATATTCGTAATGGAATTAGCTCATATTACACGCCAATTCCGGTATAAAATAATGCTGTGAAAATGACCCTCAGTGCTAGCTGCCCGTATTGAAAGAAAAAATGTATCATACCCCTTAAATAATATCCTTTGAATAGTAAATCCGATTTTTTGTTCATTTTATACCCAAGCCGTTATGCTTCTCCATTTCGGTCATTAAGGAGGACGCTCTAACTTCAGACTTTGGTTTGTCAAAGCAGCTGTGACGGTCGCCCATAAGGGGACAAAACGGTTGTGCATGTTTTGCGCTCAGGTGAAGCTGGAATTCGAAAATCAAAAATCTGCTGGGCTACCACTCAAATACACTGGAGCACACCACGATCTGCGTTCCGCCATTACTTTATGTAGAAGGGGCGCTGTAGGAGAGGACACAGAGCTGGTAGCATAATGTCACTCCATTTGGTCTCCTTTGCGGGTGAAGTATCAGATTTGAGTTCATTACTGGCACGCGACTCTCATATTCTGCTCCTTAAAGGAACCCTTGCAGCAACATCCAGCTAAGTGCCTCAACCGGTGGGCTAAGCTGTGTGAAAGTATCCGATATTGCACTTATTCGCACAGCTGATGTAAGTACTCGCCATTCATCTATGTGTCCCCGTAGCCAGTCTCCCTTTTTCACCTCCTCGCATCTTTCGCCCTCTCTCCCGCCCCATGTCGAACACCATTATCCGCCTTCAAAGTATTTTCCCTTCCTCCCCCTTCCGTCATCCGATGGTACACTACACCACACAAAATGGTAAATTGTTCTGTCCAGCTCATCATAAGTGTTCTGAGTTTTGCCTCGACCACCGCCGATGCTGTCATTTGTAGGCTTCCGCAAGTAAATGATAACAAAGTCCTTTATTTTCCGCCTTCTTTACCAGAAATTACCAGAGTGAACGACCAAATTTCGCACCAGAAAACGCAGGCATCTTAAACAGTCCTAGTGGGACTTTGTAGGTATGGTAGGCCCCAAAATTTCAGCTGTGGCGCCAACGCATGGTTTTGTAGAATTTATAGAAAACCACAATTTTCCGTTAATTCAAGACTAAAGGTGACTGTGCGGTGACCATCCAGACATATCCGTATTCACTTTTACCGGAAATGCGGAATTACTTCGAATTGTAGTCAATCATCTAAACCGCCACCTAGCGCGCTGATTGGTCTGTGAAATATAGTACGCGGTTTATACTCACAACCGGCATGTTTTAATATCCTCGCTATTTACAAGACAATCGCCAGAATCGTCGTCTACACTAACTGTGTGCTCAATATATAAAGGCGTATTAGCAGGGTAAGTTTTTAAACTCAAAGGAAAAGCATAAGATCCGCACCTGACTTTGTTTGTTTTTCGTGTCTGCGGATCGAAAACTTGGAGTGTCTCTGGATGATGGTTATGACGATTTCTAAATATACAATTTCAGAAGGGATAAACGGACGTTACGTGAAAGTACGTTAAGCTAGTTTTTCGACCCTGTTCGAAGTCATGCAGTTTTCAAAACAGAAAATTCCAAACAAACGACGTCTCTAACGTCATATGGATATATTTTAGGTAAACAGCAACCTACAGAATCAGGAGGAGTTTCCACATAGTTACTCTTGTTAAATCAGTAACTTTTTCCTCCAGTGTATATTTTCGATGACCAGCTCCTACTTATTTTGGTCAACTGTACTTCTAATACAACGGAAATGCACCTTGACCCATAGGTTGGCTGATCGATTTTTCTCACGTTAGTCCACAACTAATTTGGTGTCGCCTAACTGACTTGGGGCCCAACCTCCCATGCAACAAGTTTCAATTAGTCATTGAAGTCGACAGGAAAATGCTCAGAAAGTTAACAGAACCAGTTCTCTGTAAGTGCTAAGAAAATATCTATTGCCTTGCTAGTTACCGTCCAGCGAGACATCGTAAGGTAATGATCTACCTGTATGAAAGAACGAAGGTCAGGTGCGAAGCTTTTTAATTTCTTTGTTTCAACCTATTAGCAAGTCCCTAGGCCATTTGCATGTTGATTAAAATTTAATTTAAATTGCAATAGCACGAAGGCTATTTTTAAAGGCACTTTAGATTTGTACATCGCAGATGGGTAACCTCAACTATTTATATAATGCGCTAAATCCTCTGTCCACTAATTTGATGATTTTTACTAATGGCCTAAGTATATTTAAAAAGTAGCTAACGGACTCATATACTAGTTTTTTTTCTTTAGTTCGTCCACCCTGTTACGCTAGGGGTGTCGCTTATGTGTCTACTGCGGCTGTTGTTGGGGGAAGGGGGGGGAAAGCAGGCACTTTTTCTTTTGATGTAGGTGAATTGGTCCGCGGGTAAGGAGAATATAGAAATAAGCTTCTATATTGGGTGATAATTTAGAAGTCAAGACATGCTGCGTTAGATAGTAGACACAAGGGAGCTCTCTTAAAGTTGCCAACATCTTACTTTTGCGTTACGTCGCACACTGTGTTTCGAAATATAGGGGATATAGTCGCTAAGTCAGTGAGGCAACTGCGCGGTATATGTGAAGTGCAGTCGACGAAGACGAAAATATTCTACGCAGTGTAAAAAAACGACAGTTATTTATTGTAGATGAAAATAATACAGCTACTTTTTCCTTATTTTTGAATCTCTAGTGCAAGGAATATCTTATATTTGTACGTCCTTTTGATGGTGCTATTCATTTTTTTAACTGTATAACCATGAGCACGGGGAAAGTTACATCTTTTTTCACTCCACCTAACCGTTTAGTGTAGTGGAAACCACAGTGAATATTATCGATTCGATACATATTTTACTCAAAAACCGAGAGATTGTTTAAATGCAAGATGCGGTTGCCCTACTAGCCCGTGCAGCCATGTTGCACGTGATTTATTGTTTATTAACTTACATTTATATAGAAAAGTATGACATGGGCGAATTTTAAGTGGCAAGTTTAAGCCATTTATATCCGTAAAATAATGAGCCTGGGACAGGTGATACCTATTTTAAGTATTCGTTCACTCACAACATGATTATGAATACAACAATAATACAACCGAAAGTGGTGTCTGTCTCCGACTTTACTGTCAGCTACCTCAACGCCTTTATCATCCTTCATGACAATGGTTGGTTAAACCAGCTTGCTTTTTTGGGTTATTAGTCACCGAGTAACCTAGGTAACATAATATCTCCGTGGAAGAAGTTTCTTTAGACATTATACCATCCCAATATTTTAGTTCATCACATGTATACTTATTTTTAGAATAGGGTGATATCACTTCAGCGATTGGAGTCATGTCTGTGTGAAGAGAAGTAGAGCATAAAGTTCAAAATCCGGCAATAACTTTAAGCATAAACATTTGTTGTATTTCCAAATAAAGTGCACGTTTAATTTGGACAGAGGAAACAAACATTACCCACATCACAAACCAGTTCAAAGTTATAATAAAAAATGCATGGCAGAAGTGCCCCCAATGATAATTTAAAATCACATTTTTCAAGTTGTTTTTTATAGGTGAGCAGACTTTAATTCCCAGGAAACTGCAATCCACAGGGAAATGTATTATCGACATGACCTGAAGATGAGTTAGATATAATA